TCCGGTCGTGGGGCCTGAACTCTGGGCCTGGGCACTGTCCCTCAGCTCTTCAGCTCAAGGCTAGCCCTCTACCACTTGAGCCACAGTGCCACTTCTGGCTTTTTTTTTTTCTTTTTGCTTATGTGGTGCTGAGGAATCAAACCCAGGGCCTCAGGCATGTGAGGCAAGCGCTCTACCACTGAGCCACCTTCCCAGCCTTCTAAAAAAATTTTTTTGGTACTATACCTCTGAGAGAAAAAAATATTATGATCCATTGATAAGGGAAAAGGAAACAACAATGAAGATGTCAGGAGTGCTGGCTCTTATGGCTAACTCCTCCATTCCTTCCCCATCATAGTGTCTTAAAAATATTAGCCTCTTGCCGGGTGCCAGTGGCTCACGCCTGTAATCCTAGCTACTCAGGAGGCTGAGATCTGAGGATTGTGGCTCAAAGCCAGCCTGGGCAGGAAAGTCCGTGAAATTCTTACCTCCAATAAACCATCAGAAAACCAAAAGTGGTGCTGTAGCTCAAGTGGTAGAGCTCTAGCGTTGAGCTGAAAAGCTGAGGGACAGCGCTCAGGCCCAGAGTTCAAGGCCCACAACTGACAAAAAAAAAAAAATTAGCTTCTTATCTCCAATTAATCACTAAAAAGGCTGGATATGGAACTGTGGCTCAAGTGGTAGAGCATCTGTCTTGATTGATAAAGGGACAGCAGAACGGGTACCAAAATGTTATATAAACATATACCAAATTAATTCAGCACTGGTGGCTCAGGCCTGTAATCCTAGCTACTCAGGAGGTTGAGATCTGAAGATGTGGTTCAAAACAAGCTTGGGGGAGGAAAATCAGACACATCTCCAGTTATCTACCAGGAAAAAAAAAGAAGTGGAGTCATTGTTCAAGTGATAGAGTAGTTGGCTTCAGCTAAAAACCTCAGGAACAGCAGGGGGCCTGTGGCTCGTTTCTAAATCCTAGCCACTTAAGAGGTTGAGCTCTGAGGATCCCAGTTTGAAGCTAGCCCAGGCAGGAAAATCCATTAGACTCTTATCTCCAATTAACCACCAGACAACTGGAAATGGAGCTGTGGTTCAAGTAGTAGAGCACTAGCCTTGAGCAAAAAGAGCTCATGGACAGTGCTCAGGCCCTGAGTTCAAGCCCCAGGACAAACACTATAAAAACCAACCCACTAAACAAACAAATTAAAAAAAACCCAAAACAAGGAAACTGCCCACCACAAAATCTACCACTCACCTGCAGCCTCTGTGCCCCTGGCTCTGCTTTCCTTCCTTTTAACAATAAAAAAAGATTTATAGGCAAATCAAAGGCCAGCTACCACTTATGGTTAGAATCCCATCACCTGCTAACAGACTTGAGATTCTGAAAACAGGTCCCTTTACTTCCTTGTAAATTTCTACATATCAATTCATGGCTCCCATTAACATCCAAGTATATTCTTAATTGCATTAGTTGTAAGAATCTGAAATTTCTTCTGCCTCTGAACTGAATCTGATTTCTCTGCTCCTAGATAGTGAAACTTTATCTCATCTGAACCTATTCCAACTAGGCTTTTAACATTCCACCACCACTTGGCTAAATCTAAGGATCCTTTTGTTCTACAACACTCCCAGCTCAGCAACAACCATCCTTAGTTGGCTTTTCTTCCACCTCTGCAGTCCCTTCTTCCCTGTCTTTCTGCTATGTAGGGCTGCTAGAATGGCTACCAGACTTGCAGCTGGAAACCGCACTCTGTAAGAGGAACTGGAGGACATCTATCACCAAAGCTGAAAGGAATGCACCATTGAGAGTCCAGGAAGACAGTAGTCGGCTGCACTCTGGAGCCTGGTGTCTAAGCATGGGATGATGGTGCAGAGGTGGGGCCAAAGCAATGTGGGGTGAGTGGATGAGAATGAAGGCCAGGTGGAAACCAGGTGATAGCCACCGGTGGTGATTACAATGGATGAAAATGAGCTGCAGAGGCTGGGAAGGTGGCTCAGTGGTAGAGCGCTCACCTTGCATGCCTGAGGCCCTGGGTTCCATTCCTCAGCACCACATAAGCAAAAAGAAAAAAGCCGGAAGTGGCGCTGTGGCTCAACTGGTAGAGGGCTAGCCTTGAGCTGAAGAGCTGAGGGACAGCGCCCAGGCCCAGAGTTCAGGCCCCACGACCGGACCCAAAAAATAAAAATAAAAAAAGAAGATGAGCTGCAGATGCAGAACAAGAGAAGTGGTGAAGGGCCATAACCTCCAGAGAGCTACGATAATGGTTAATAAAAACACTTTCCCAGGGGCTGGGAAGGTGGCTCAGTGGTAGAGCGCTTGCCTTGCACTCATGAGGCCCTGGGTTCGATTCCTCAGCACCACATAAGCAAAAAAGAAAAAACGGAAGTGGCGCTGTGGCTCAAGTGGTAGAGCGCTAGCCTTGAGCTGAAGAGCTGAGGGACAGTGCCCAGGCCCAGAGTTCAGGCCCCACTACCGGACCCAAAAAAAAAAAAACACTTTCCCAGAAACTAGACACATCTCAAAGATGGGTGTCCTACAGTAGTACTGCTTTAAGCCCAAAGAGGGCAGTGAAACCCCTTAAGCCATACTTCCAGTTTGGCTTAACTAGATGGTTAATTGGAAATAAAGTCTTGCTGACTTTTCTGCCTGGGCTGGCTTTGAACCTCAATCCTCCAGAACCAGTCTCTTGAGTAGCTAGGATTACAAGCATAAGCAACTGGCACCTGACTATGGTGTCTTTGTGTGTGTGGGGGGGGGTATGTACGTTCATATGCACATGCCAGTACTGGGGCTTGAACTCATGGCCAAGGTGCTCTCCTTTAGGTTTCTTATTCTAGCACTTTACCACTTTAGCTACAGCTCCACTTCCAGTTTTTTATGGTTAATTGGAGATAAGAGTCTCATGGACTTTCCTGCTTTGAACAATAATCCTCAGATCTCAGCCTCCTGATAGGTAAGATTAGAGGAGTGAGCCACCAATACCTGGCTAGGGTGACCTTTTTGTAAATACACTCCTCTATTTAAAATCTTTCAAGAGTTTCTCATCAAGCTCCATTGAATTTCTTAGGTTTGCATTTGATGCTCATCATGATCATCTTCATCACTTGCCCACTTGTGTTCAGATGCAACTTGATGTTCAGAGAATCCCCATGAATTGAGGGTACTCTTTTCCTCTTCTATGCTGGAAACACCTAATCAGTGCTGAAGGTCTGGCTAAGGTGTCAGCATTTCTGTAAAACTTTCCCTGGTTCTTCGTCATACAGTCCAGCACCATTTCCCATCTGCTTCTATAGCACACAGGACTGTTACGCTACACATAGTTGTCGAACAGTTCACTGATCTGTTACCACAGGAAAGTAGGTACTCCTTGTGTTCTTCACCTCACTTTTCTTAGTTTATTGAATGTCATTAAATGTTTAATGAAAGGTCTACGTTTGACTCTGCTCCTTGAGTCACGTATCAAGGGAGGCACATTTATTTGGAGATAACCTGTAGGTAAAAAGACATAAATGTCTTATAATACATGTTAGGCCAGCATTGATGCACAGAATCCTGTTCACAACCTCTTGTTGACACCATCTCATCTCACTTGTGTGTAAGCCCCAGATTTGACTATCATAACAGGTGCCTTTATTGTAGCTTTTCCTAGAGGAGCTCATGTCTGTTTTTTACAATCTGAATCACCTACAAGCTTTCAATGCTTACTTTTCTTAAAGCAAATACTCCTAGCAGCAACTTACTATGCTTTTCTTCTATGTTCCAAAAATTTTTTGTGTATGTCTATGGTGGTCCTAGGGCTTGGACTTAGGGCCTGGGCATTTCTCTGAGGTAGGGCTCTACCACTTGAGCCACAACTCCACTTCTGGATTTTTGATGATTAACAAGATAAGAGACAGACTTGCCCAGGCTGGATTGGAACTGTGCTCCTCAGATGTCAGCTAGGATTACAGGTATACTAACTTCAGTGAGATAAAATAATATCTTCCTTTCTACTCAAGGGATAGTTGATTAATAGCTTTATCTTCAATCTTGTTTCTAGGATTTATGAAAAGGATAACATGTTTATTTTCCTGGTGCATCTCACAAATCAGCCATCTCTGGCTCTATTTAAACTCAGAACAAATTCTTCAAAATTATATTAAGGTGAAAATTATAAGGTTAGGTCTTAAAGGATCATTTATCTCTTTTCATTTAGAATTTCAGTTCAAAGAATTTTAGAGTCTTGCCTTTTCAAATATGGTGGTTGGTAATATGTCCTGTCTATATAGAAGAAAGATGTCTTGCAGGGGGTTGTAAGGTGAGGACTGAAGAGGAAGGGAGTTGGGTAAAAACATGCCACATAGAGGAAGCTGGGGGCTGGGAAGGTGGCTCAGTGGTAGAGTGCTTGCCTTGCATGCATGAGGCCCTGGACTCAATTCCTCAGCACCACATAAGCAAAAAGAAAAAAAAAAAGCCAGAAGTGGCACTGTGGCTCAAGTGGTAGAGGGCTAGCCTTGAGCTGAAGAGCTGAGGGACAGCGCCCAGGCCCAGAGTTCAGGCCCCACGACCAGACTCCCTCCCTCCCCCCCAAAAAAATAGAGGAAGCTGTGTGAGTATAACAGGCATAGAACTAAGAAAATGTGTTTAGAAATCCCAGATTGAAGCCAGGCACCAGTGGCTCATACCTGTAATCTTTTTTTTTTTTTTGCCAGTCATGGGGCCAGAACTCTGGGCCTGGGCACTATCCCTCAGCTCTTCAGCTCAAGGCTAGCACTCTACCACTTGAACCACAGCACCATTTCTGGCTTTTTCTGCTTATGTGGTTCTGAGGAATTGAACCCAGAGCCTCATGCATGCAAGGCAAGCACTCTACCACTGAGCCATCTTCCCAGACCCTCATACCTGTAATCTTACTTACTCAGGAGGCTGATATCTGAGAGTGGTTCAAAGCCAGCCCAGGCAGGAAAGTCCATGAAACTCATCTCCAATTAACCACTAAAAAGCTGGAGGTGGAGCTGTGGAGCACTAGCCTTGAGCAAAAACTGCTCAGGGACAGTGCCTAGACCCGGAGTTCAAGACCCAGGATCAGCACACACACACACAAAAGGAAGGAAGGGAGGGAGGGAGGGAGGGAAGGAAGAAAGAGAGAGAGAAAAAGAAAGAAATAAGGAAAGGAGGGAAGGAAGGAAGGAGAGAAGGAAGTAAGGAAAGCGAGTGGTTAGATCTAACTGAGTATATGGCCAGAAGGAAATGTAAGACTGGATAGAAAGGCAAGAAGCAGATTACAGAGGACCTTAGATATGCAGTTGGGAACCATTGAGGGCTTTATTTAGGGAAGGGATAAGCTTATACTTGGCATTGAAAATTACTATCTATGCTGTGGAGGATGGAATGAGGGCACAAACTAAAGGTAGAAACTCCAAGTAGTAGGAGGGAGTAGCAATAGGTCCAATGAAAAAACTGGTGCTGGTGACTTATACCTGTAAACCTAGCACTTTCAGGTGGCATGGTTCAAAGCCAGCCAGATAGGAAAAGTCTGTGAGGCTCTTGTCTCCAATTAACCACCAGAAAAAGGGAAGTGGCGCTGTGGCTCAAAGTGGTAGAGCACTAGCCTTGAGCAAAAGAGCTCAGGGACAGCGCCCAGGTCCTGAGTTCAAGCCCCATGACTGACAAAAAAAAAAAAAAGGAAAAAAATGAAATGTGGCAGTGGGTTTGAGATCAAGGGGACCAAACAAGAAAAGTTTCAAAGAAAGGGGCGTCTCACTGTGGGACAAGGTATGACAGGAATCCAAAGGTGCCTGCCTCTGAGAGCACAGGGACAGCTGAAATGTCTCTCAGGAGTGCACATTTAATCTTGTGTTCTTTCTTTCTTTCTTTTTTTTTTTTTTGGTCTGTCGTGGGGCCTGAACTCTGGGCCTGGGCACTGTCCCTCAGCTCTTCAGCTCAAGGCTAGCATTCTACCACTTGAGC